GGCCGGCGCCGCGGCGGGGAGACACGGGCGGAATCTGCCTCTGAGGTAAGTGGGGACCTCTCTTGCCCCCAGATCCCAACCTCCGATCGGAGCAGAGAAGGAGGCGGCCTGTTCTTAGGAAACGAAAAAAAAATTTTTTTAATTAAAAAATGCAACAGGCGGGGCGGATCAGGAAACTCCCGGCGTTAAGGTTTCCCACTGTGGGAAGACTTGTCCAAGACTGAAACTTGGGGCCGTTCTTCAGACTCGGAGGCGGAGAGGCTGCTCCTTCCACCTGCCTCGGAGCTCCCTCTGGCGGCAGCTCGGGAGGACGCAAAGCGAGGCTACAGGTGAAGGGGAGCCGCCGCCGCTGCCCCGCCGCTCCTTCCCGAGGGTGGTTTCCCTTGCCCTCAAGGACTTACTTGTCTTAGTGGTGCCCCCCCGCAAGGACAGTGTCTGCCCTCTGAAAGGCCAACCCTCAGCAAGATTAAGTACAGAGTCCCCCCAACTTTCCCTGTGTGAGGGGAAATAAGAAGCTGAAGTCATCTCTCTCAAGGGCCTTGGAATAAAACCGTTTTTGAATACTAAAGCCAGCAATGGTTAAAATCGGAGTACTGTCACGCAAGTAGTTGCTTGTCAGCCACGCACATGCAATGAAATCTTCATGTGAGCATTGAAACTGATGACAATCAAACGTAGATGGGGTTGCCTAGCAGGTTTTTATTGAGATTCTCACATTTCTGTCAAGTGATTGTTGGGCATTTGAATTTAGTCGTTTATGTCTACTCTTAGCCTATCCGTATCCTCAGAGAATTTCTTTGTTTTGTTTTTCCTCCAGAAAAGAGTGTCATGAAATAGGAAAGAAAAGAGATGTCATTGTTGGTGAAAGGGAGCCCTTCTTTCCCATTCGTTGGTTCCGTCATGATGAGAAGAGGAGAAATACCTAGATGGCTGAAGAGATTTGCCTTTGACAATTGTACAGATGAAGCTGATGAAAGAATACATGAAATTGCTTTCTCTGGGTCCTAATAGACTGCCGAGTAAGTAAGCCTGGAAAAAGGACATTTTGAAATGGGAGTTGGAGTTTTTTGGTAAATCATGTAGGACTTTGAATACGTGTTGAGGATGTTTTTCTCCCAAAAATGGAAGAAGAAAAAGTTCTCAAAGCCGAAAATGCCAAAAAATTGCAAGGAACAGCTATTGCGTCTGCTCCAAGAATTTTAGCACTTCACCAACATGGATTAGGGAAACAAATACAAGTATATCTTACCTGTGGGAAGGGTTGCATCACAAGAGATGCTTTCTTGTGCTAGAAATGACTCTTAACTTAGTTTGAGAGTGCTTTTTTCCTTCTTTTATTTTTTAACCCTGTGTTTTGGCTTTTTATGTTAGACTAGAGATTTATGTAAACGAAGTAATGGCTGAATTCATAGGATGTTTGCTTATTGCACTAGTCTTCTGTGTGTTACAGTGAAAAAATGGAGATTTCAACATTCTTTGAAGTTTTATTGAAAGCAACACTGTGTCAAGGACACAAATATTCTGTATAAATTTTCTCTTTTTTGGCAACTGTGCGTTTAATGAGCTGTATGTCAGGTTGACTTCACGGCGTAGATGATTTACAATTTTTGGTTTTTTTAAGGCCTTAAGTGCATGCTTTGTATTAACCAGATGGAAAACACGCTAAGCACTGTGTTTGACATGTATGCCTAAGGAAAAGAACTCCCTGATGGATCATGGCGTTAATGTTTACAGGACATTTCTTATTTTTAGCATTAGTGATGTTTGGTTTCTCTACTTTTGAGGAATCTGTGAGCAATTACTCTGAATGGGCAGTTTTTACAGATGAAATAGAACAGTTTAAGACACAAAAAGTGCAAGATTTCAGACCCATCCAAAAGCCGAAAAAAAGTATGCTTCATCCAAGTTTATATTTTGATGCTGGAGAAATTCAAGCACTGCGACAGAAGTCTCACACAAGCCATTTGCATCTTTTTAGAGCTATCAGAAGTGCAGTGACAGTTATGCTGTCTAATCCAACATACTACCTACCTCCACCCAAGCATGCTGATTTTGCTGCCAAGTGGAATGAAATTTATGGCAACAATCTGCCTCCTTTAGCATTGTACTGTTTATTATGCCCAGAAGACAAAGTTGCCTTTGAATTTGTCTTGGAATATATGGACAGGATGGTTGGCTACAAGAACTGGCTGGTTGAAAATGCACCAGGGGATGAGGTTCCAATTGGTCATTCCTTAACCGGTTTTGCCACTGCCTTTGACTTTTTATATAACTTACTAGATAATCATCGAAGACAAAAATATCTGGAAAAAATATGGGTTATTACTGAGGAAATGTATGAGTATTCTAAGGTCCGTTCTTGGGGCAAACAACTTCTCCATAACCACCAAGCTACTAATATGATAGCATTACTCACTGGGGCCTTGGTGACTGGGACAGATAAAGGATACCAGGCAAATATGTGGAAACAGATTGTAGTAGAGGTAATGGAAAAGACAATGTTTCTGTTGAATCATGTTGTTGATGGTTCTTTGGACGAAGGTGTGGCCTATGGAAGCTACACGTCTAAATCAGTCACACAATATGTTTTTCTGGCCCAGCGCCATTTTAACATCAACAACCTAGGTAACAACTGGTTAAAAATGCACTTTTGGTTCTATTATGCCACGCTTTTACCAGGCTTCCAAAGAACTGTAGGAATAGCAGATTCCAATTATAATTGGTTTTATGGTCCAGAAAGCCAGTTAGTTTTCTTGGATAAATTCATCTTAAAGAATGGGGCTGGAAACTGGTTGGCCCAGCAAATTCGAAAGCACCGACCTAAAGATGGACCGATGGTTCCTTCCACTGCCCAAAGATGGAGTACTCTTCATACTGAATACATTTGGTATGATCCCCAGCTAACCCCACAGCCTCCTGCTGAATATGGTACTGCAAAAATGCACACATTCCCCAACTGGGGTGTTGTTACTTATGGGGCTGGGTTGCCAAATACACAGACCAATACCTTTGTGTCTTTTAAATCTGGAAAGCTGGGAGGGCGAGCTGTGTATGACATAGTTCACTATCAACCGTACTCCTGGATTGATGGCTGGAGAAGCTTTAACCCAGGACACGAACATCCAGATCAGAACTCATTTACTTTTGCCCCAAATGGGCAAGTCTTTGTTTCTGAAGCTCTCTATGGACCCAAGTTGAGTCATCTCAACAATGTGTTAGTGTTTGCTCCATCACCCTCAAGCCAGTGTAACAAACCTTGGGAAGGCCAGCTAGGCGAGTGTGCACAGTGGCTTCGGTGGACTGGTGAAGAGGTTGGTGACACAGCTGGGGAAATCATCACAGCCTCTCAGCACGGGGAAATGATGTTTGTGAGTGGAGAAGCGGTGTCAGCTTACTCTTCAGCAATGAAACTGAAAAGTGTCTATCGTGCTTTGCTTCTCTTAAATTCTCAAACTTTGCTGGTTGTTGATCACATTGAGAAGCACGAGAATTCCCCGATAAATTCTGTCAGTGCCTTCTTTCATAACCTGGATATTGATTTTAAATATATATCATATAGGTTTATGAACAGGTATAATGGCGCTATGATGGATGTGTGGGATGCACACTACAAAATGTTTTGGTTTGATCACCGTGGCAATAGTCCCATAGCTAGTATCCAGGAAGCAGAACAAGCTGCTGAATTTAAGAAACGGTGGACTCAGTTTGTTAACGTTACATTTCCAATGGAATCCACAATCATGAGGATTGCATATATTTTTTATGGGCCATATGTCAATGTTTCCAGCTGCAAGTTTATGGACAATTCCAAATCTGGACTTCAGATTTCTCTCAATGTCAATCATACTGAACATGTTGTTTCCATTGTCACTGACTACCATAATTTGAAGACGAGGTTCAATTACCTGGGATTTGGTGGCTATGCTACTGTGACTGATCAGGTCCAAATCACTCGATTTGGATTGGGCACACAAGCAATATTAATGCCCATAAGACATGATAGAGTTATTTTCCCCTTTGGATTTAAATTTAATATAGCATTTGGATTCATTTTGTGCATTAGTCTTGTGATTTTAGCTTTTCAGTGGCAGTTTTACATTTCTTTTAGAAAGCTGATGCGGTGGATACTAATACTTGTTATTGCCTTGTGGTTTATTGAACTGCTGGATGTGTGGAGTACTTGCACTCAGCCCATCTGTGCAAAGTGGACAAGGACAGAAGCTAAAGCAAGCAAGAAAGCCGTGTCATCTGAAGAGCACCATGCCAGCCTTCCCAATGTTGTCATTACCTCACTTCCTGGTTCAGGAGCTGAAATTCTCAAACAACTTTTTTTCAACAGTAGTGATTTTCTGTACATCAGAGTTCCTACAACCTACATTGACATTCCCAAAACTGAGTTTGAAATCGGCTCTTTTGTAGATGCCTGTGAATGGAAGGTGTCCGATATCCACAGTGATCGTTTTCGTTTGCTTCGAGGCTGGTTGCAATCCTTAGCCCAAGACACAAAACTACATTTGCAAAACATCCATCTGCATGAACCCAGTAGGGGTAAACTGGCCCAATATTTCACAACAAATAAAGATAAAAAAAGAAAATTGAAAAGGAGAGAGTCTTTGCAGGATCAAAGAAGTAAAATGAAAGGCACCTTTGATAGAGATGCTGAATATGTTAGGGCTTTGAGGAGACACTTGGTCTATTACCCAAGTGCACGGCCTGTCCTCAGTTTAAGCAGTGGGAGTTGGACGTTAAAGCTTCCTTTTTTTCAAGAAGTTTTGGGAGCTTCACTGAAGGCATTGTATGTCATAAGGGACCCGCGGGCTTGGGTTTATTCAGTACTGTACAGTAGCAAACCAAGCCTTTACTCTTTGAAAAATGTGCCAGAGCACTTAGCTAAACTGTTTGAAATAGAAGGTGATAAAGGCAAATGTAACTTAGATTTTGGATATGCTTTTGAATATGAATCACTGAGGAAAGAATTCTCAAAACCCCAGGCAAATGCTGTCTCTCTCTTGTCTCATCTCTGGCTAGCAAACACAGCAGCGGCCCTGAGAATAAATACAGATTTGCTGCCTACCAGCTACCAGCTGGTCAAGTTTGAAGATATTGTGCATTTTCCTCAGAAAACCACTGAAAGGATTTTTGCCTTTCTTGGAATTCCTTTGTCTCTTGCTACTTTAAACCAAATATTGTTTGCCACTTCCACGAACCTTTTTTACCTCTCCTATGAAGGGGAAATATCACCAACTAATATTAACGTTTGGAAACAAAACTTGCCGACAGAGGAAATTAAACTGATTGAAAACATCTGCTGGACATTGATGGATCGTCTAGGATATCCAAAGTTTATGGACTAAATGCTGCAGGTCAGCGGAAATTTGCACTAATGCTTTCTCACCCAGTTTCTGGATATAAATTAGAAGAGTTTGTTTATTCTTGTACTCTGTATGTGTGTGTGTGTGTGTGTTTGTATGTGTTTTCAGTCTTTTACTTGCACAGAGAGATTATTTTAAAAATGGACACCATATTTGGCCTAGCATGATTGATTTTTATCTTACTACTTTCTTTGCTCTTGTTTTGAAAGGTTTTGTTTTTTCCTGCTACAGAGATGTAGATGAAGTTTTGTCATTTGGGTCAGGGGAGAGGGAAAGATTTTAGAGTTTTTGTCTAACTCTCCATCTGTAACTGTGCTGTCTTGGGACCTCAAACACTGCTAAAAGCCTTGCAGTTGCTGCTTTACCCAAGAGTCTTTTGCTTTCAAGGTGGACTCTAAAGAACCCTGTATTTTTTTTAAAAGATCTCTTAACACATTTATCTTGCACACACATGCAAGAAAAACAATTATTTTACTCTTTATAATAATTGGTACTGTTATCACTGCAGACATCTCAAAAGCTCCTCCTCATAGTTAATAGGATTCCTTCTTTGAAACACATCTGGAAATATGGAACAGATAGACTATCAAGGTCAGAGATAGTGACCTTAAAACCTCGTTATTGTTGTTGTTTTTTTAATAAGAAATGTGTCTTGGAACAGTTTGGGTACCAAGGGCTGGTAGGTTATTGTAGATGTGCTGTATGTTTAAAAGTCTCCTCTCTGCCTTCCTGAAGCCACAGCTGTTCATCATCAGACCACTCACTCCCTGTCCTTTCTGTCTCTATCAAGCAAAACACTAAGTAGTTACTTATTGCCACACTCCTAGTACTTGTGGGGGATTTTACCCCCCTGGTGATTAATTTTTCATTAAAGCCTGACACAGATTTAGAATCAATTTTCTTTTTGTGGAATGATCGCTATGACTCAAAGCAGTGCCACTGCTGCCAGTTTTTTAGAAGACAGAAGACAGAATTGGACAACTGCCTGGCTATCTCCCATCCTTTTGAATGAGTTTACAGACAGACTGCCAGTGTCTGGAAAAGTTGTAGGCAAATGGGAGATGATGTCAGAGGCATCTGTTTCCTTTGCCATCTGCATCTTATTATAAATGGAGCTGTCATAAAATATTGTTTGTTTTATTTTGGTAGGCTAGGAAATAAAAATGCTATACCATTATACGCCAGTAGAGTTAATTACCATCCATCGGATGAATGAAAACTATTAGTGTCAAAACTTGATGAAAATCTCTGTACATATTGTCTTTTTCCTGATGCTTCAAAATGTAGTTCCCACAAGCTCTCTTAACACTTGGGAATCTGCCATTCTGACCTAGATAAAAGTGATCCTTGCTCAGTATGTTATTATGTCAAGATGTGCCTCCAGAGTGATGAAGCGGTGAATGTTACATTCCAGTGAAACCTAACGTGATTGTCATTTTTCATCCACTATACTGCGACTTTGGACTGTCCCTGCCCCTAATATTTCCTCCACTTCCATAACTTTGCTTTCCATCTTATGTCACAAAGAATAAAAATCATATTGTATGGGTTGAGAGGGCACTGAAGACCTGGATGTATGCTGTTATTCTGAAGGAAGATTGTTCTAGCTGAATCAAGGTTATCAATAAGCATGCAAAGTTGCTCCATGGATGATAGCACTATTTCAACTATGGGTCAGAGTCTCATTATTTGCTTTCAGGGCCCAGAATGTGTCTTGAGCCATATCAAACAAAAAATCAAAACTGGGTGGGCAGTAAAAAGAGGCTTGATCAAGGTATGAATCACAGTTGTGTGCATATGATTAGAAAAAATCTCCCACTGACTTTAACAGTGTGCAGAAATTTGCCTGCAAGTTCTGGGTGGATATGTGGAGGAATTAAGAAAGATGTGGGGAGAAAGGAAACATTCTAAGAATGACTATGGGAATGAGTAAAATATGATACTGATAGCAAAAAAGGCAATTGTACAATTGGCGTGATTGAAATATGGAATGCTATATATATATTAAGTCCCAACTGATAATAATAAAGAAGTATAAATTTTTTTTTTAAAAAAGACACAAGAGGAAATACCTGCCAAGGTAAACCCAGCTACATTAGTAAACTGTTGAAGGTGATTTGAAGTTTAAAAAAAAGAGAAAGTGGTTTCACAGTACATCTTTTCACTCTCACCTGGCCGAGTTGAACAGCTCTGTTTCTACTTGCCATGCAACTCCAAGGGACAATTTCAGAAATCTCCCTTCCTCCTTGGTTGATATTGAAATAGTAAGCTTGCCATGGAAGAGGACTGTGCTACTTGATTCTCCATGAGGAATGTTAGTTTGTGAGTGAACAATGACACATTCATTAGCTGTGCATATATGCATGCCTGGGACCCCACCCCCTTGATTTATAAGCTGCATAATTTATAATTTAGTGTTATTTTAGTACCTTCCTATGTTTTCAGGATGGTCTCCTAGGAGAAATTCAAATGCAGATTTCATGAATTTTTTTTCTGAAAATGGTTCAAAGTGGGATTATCATTGCTATCTGACACGTAAAAGTAATGCTTATAAAATGACCTGTCTGTACAATCTCTCTTCACTAGCAATCCAAGTCTTAGGTCACATTGAGTTTAAAAGCTTTTGTTAAAGCAATAGCATCTAAATCTTGAGTTGTGAAAGCATATGTCAATTTACTTACTAAAACAATACAAATAAATGTGACTATGATGACCTGGTTTTTAAAATTTTCAAACTGCAATTGTATATACGTATAAGGTAAGACAGAAGGGCCATATCTAGGCTTGATGTTACTGAAAGGAGACATTCAGAAGATAGGAAATAGAAAATTTTGTTCAGGAGAAGGAACATGTAAATCTAGATTTTTAAAAATCTAGATTTTTAATGAAGAATTAATACAAGAGGGCTCCCAAAAGTACATGGGGAAAAAAAGGAATTAAAAGGTAATAAAAAATTGTCATGCTTTTGAAGCCCCCTTGATAAGAGGGCAGTGGTGGTTCAGTGATAGTTTCTTGCCTTCTACATAGGAGTCCAGGGTTGGATTCTTGGACAGTGTGTACTACATACAGCTACCGCTGCTGTCATTGAAGGCTTGCATGTTGCTTTGATGCTCAACAGGTTTCAGTGGTGCTAAATAAGCCAGGGAAAACCCTACAGATCCCAAAAGTCAAATCTGCAAGCAATCGGGGTCTCAGATTTGCTCCACAGTAACTATTGCTCTTGATGTCAACTTCACAGTAGGCTCCACGGGACTGGCAGAAGAATTGCCACATCACCTGCAAGTGTGTGCAGAGCAGGCTCCCCTCGCTTTTGCAGCATGCCATGCACATGCAGACTAGCATTTCTTAAGAACTTTGTGGGAATTTTACCCTTCGTCTTTGCCGGTTTGTTTGGGTTGCCATTGATCAGCACAAAGTGTTGATTAACACTTTAAAATCATAGGCGATTGCCGAGAGAAAAGACATGTTAGAGGTAAAGGCACCTAAAATTCTAGCATATTTCAGGAAATTTAGTAGTTGAAGTATTTACTGCCTACCTAATAGTCATAATATATTTATTATATCTAGAATATGCACTAAGGTAATTTTATTTTTCTAAGTTACTGACTGAAAAAGTACCATTTTATTTTGGCAGGAAAATTATCCAGAGTTTAAGACCTAAATATCTGACTTTTTGTACAAAGGTAGATAAGAACTTCAAACGATAGACTCTAATCCTTGAGGTACAATTTACTTTGTTGTCAGTTGTATTTAGTAGCAGTTGTGTATATGTTTAATTGTTTTTAATCACAAAAATAAGTTCCACAAGAGCTTCTAAATCATGTTTTGTTGCACTTAGTTTTGTTTTTTTCTCTTACATTTTATCAAGTTAATATAAGTAGCAGATTGAACAGCATATGCTGGTTTACTAGAATCAAGCCAAACCCAAAAGCCTACCATTTGATTCTGACTCATCCTGACCCTATAAGACAGAATGGAGCTGCCCCTTTGGGTTTCAAGGACAGCGCATTTGTACAGGAGCAGAAGGCCTCATCTGTCTCCAGTGGAGTAGATGGTAGATGTGGGCTGCTGCCCTTGGGATTAGTAGCTCAGCACCTAACTTAAGGTGTCACAAAATTTTTTTTTTTTTAAGTATCTATTATTAGTCATCATCAACTACCTGGGTGGTGTGGTTTGTGTTTTGACTACTAACTGGGACCCACTCAGCAGTGCTGCAGATTAAAAGCCTCATTGTTTCTGTAAAGATCATATCTAAGAAAGTTCTGCTCTAACATAGGGTTGCCATGATTCGAAATCAAGAGTAGTGTTTTTGTTTTTGTGAAATATAAATAAGATTCATATAACTTAAAACAGGACCCCTGATAGCATAGTGGGTTGCATGTTGCGCTGCGAACCATAAGATCAGCAGTTTAAAACCACCAGCTGCTGCGTAGGATAAAGATGCGGCTTCCTGCTCCCCTAAGGATTTATAGTCTTAGAATAGTGTCTCTGACCTTAAAGGCTTATCTTGAAACAAATAGCCACCTAAGTGAGGTGTCTGCTAAATTTATACAGGAGCACACCCACCCATGTGATCCAATGATTGTAAATAATAAAATCCAGTATCAGAGAAGTGAATTGTATTAGCACTTACATTCTGAGCACTGGGTTTGCATAAGGCTATGGATGACAATGAAAGCCCAAAATCCACTTGCAGGTTCCCCACACGAATTAAGCCTCCATTTAACTCCCTCATACTATTGACTAGTGATGTGAATACTCTTGCCCTCAGACAGAGTACATTGGAAAGTAGAATTCTGAAGATAGAGTTAGCATAAAATTTAACATTTTGTTTCCCCTTTTTACCCATTTTTAATTTGTTCTTATTTCAGTCCACTTTCTTTTGGATTGAGATTTTACCATGTTTTATTTGTTGTCATTGTTAACAGTTATTTTGTATTATTTTCTTTAAATGAATTCTAAGATATGTAATCCATAGAGAAAGTAACTAAATTAATAGTTCCTTAAGATTATGGCAGAGGAGGTTGGTGGGGAATTATTATAATTAATAATATGGATACAAGAATGAAGGTAATGTTCTAAAATTATTGTGATAATTGCACAACTCTTTAATATATTTAAACCATGGAATTTTATCATACATAAATTATATGCCAATATAATTGGGGGTGGGTGGGCGGGGAAAGATTTACAATCTCAGAAACAACCAGGGCAGTTCTACCTTGTCCTATAGTGTTGCTGTGAGTTGGAATCAACTTGATGGCAATGAGTTATGATTTAAAATAATAAACTACATACAGCTAAAGTCAGCTGCCTATGTTTGGAATAACTTTGTCACACCTCTTTTCTTTGGATCTCTGTAAAGCCATTAGGATCTCCCCAGGGACGAGAAGGCAGAGCTTGGGAAATGTGAGACACAGCATGTACTGACAGAGTAAACTTCACTATTTCAGTCATTAAGTTTGCATCGTCCCCAGTGCTGGGTGTGGCTGGCTTCTCCCCTGGAGTAAATTCCCAGTCCGGACTCTTATCTTGAAAATATTCAATTTCACTATTCATATGCATCATTTCAACTTTTTAAATAGCAATAATGAAAGGTGAAATTTCGTGCACTTCTTGGGTCTTATTTGAGGAGAGGATCTTACTTGGGACTTACCAAATAGGCAATATACAAAATTGGGGAAGGAAGACTATTCTTTTCACCCTTTAGGAGGGAGAATGTTCTAGCAAGAATTCGTCACATAATAGAATGTGTTTATATTGAGACATATCTTATTACAATACCCTGAACCACGAAAACCAACAAAACCAGTGACCATTGACTTGGCTCAACTCTTACCAACCTCATGTGTGTCAGGTAGAGCCACACCCCATGGGGTCTCCAGTGGCTGATTTTTCACAAGTAGATTGTTAGCCTTATCTTCTGAGTCCAGTGAGCAGATGAGTCCCTTTACTTTTTGCATCATTAATGAACACTACAGCTCTCTTCATTTTGCCTATTATTACCATATTTGTTCAAGCTATGATGAGAAAATCATCAGAGAAGCTGAATTATATGAAGAATGGGGCATCAAGATAGGAGGAAGGCTTATTAACAACCTGTGGTATGCAGATAACACAATTTTGCTTGCTGAAAATGAAGAGGAATTGAAGCACTTATTGATGAAGATCAAGGATTGTAACTCTCGGTAAAGATTACAACTCAATGTAAGGAATACCCAAATTCTCACAACTGGACCAAAAGTAACTATGATAAATGAAGAAAAGGTTGAGTTGTCAGGGATTTTTGTTTTGTTTGGATCCACAATCAATGCTCATTGGAGCAGAAGTCAAAAGATCAAAATACTATTGCATTAGGTAAATCTCTTACTTTGAGGACTACGGTGAGCCTGACCCAAGTCATGGTATTCTGGAGTGATTGGTGGGTCTGAACCTCTGACCTTGCGATTGCAAGAAGTAGTATTGCTCAAATACTTAATATTACTGAGTAATCCTTTCCTAGTCTTTGGTCACTTGAATTAGGACATCCTAGCAAGCTTCTTCTGAGGACTGTATAATAACAAGCTTCTCAACTCAGTAATTAAGAGCTTTTGACTCTGTTTGGAAATCAACACATATAAGATCTCTTTTTCTTCTGCCACAAGGGTGATATTTTTAACATTGCACATATACGCACTGAGTACAATGTTCAGGCTCTGGTCTAGGTATTGGGGATACTTTTAAAAGCTGAAGCCATAAAGAAAAGGAAGGAAGATTTCCCCCCCACTTTCACTGTTGTCACTGTGCTAAATGAAGAATAAACTGTCATTTCTGCATTTAAATCTGGCACCCACAAAGAATGGTGCATGATGCCCTCTTACTGTATTCAGTGCATAATGTAACCGACTGCACCACACTGGAAGAAGACTGCTAAAGTTCACTCGTGTGCGTTTGCTTTTTAACTATGTATTCAGGTATTTCTTCGTACAGAAAATTAGTTCTGTTTTAGTTGTTGTTAGATGCTATTGAATCAATTCCTACTCACTGTTACAGAATGAAACCTACAACAGAGAAAAAACACTGCATGGTCATTTTGCGTCCACACAATTTGTATGTTCCAACCCATTGTTAAAGCCATGATGTCAATCCATCTTGTCCAGGGCCTTCTTTGTCTCTGGCCCACTACTTTACCAAGCCTGATGTCTGTCCTCTTACAGGGACTGTTCTCTCCTGATAATTTGTCCAAAGAAGATGAGACAAAATCTTGTCATCCTTGTTTCTAAGAAGCTTTCTGGCTGTACTTCTTTCAAGACAGACTTGTTTAATCTTCTGGCAGTCCATGGTACTACCATTATTATTTTCACTATAATCGAAACATATCAATTCTCAGGGTTTCTTTGTACTGTGCAACCTTCATATGGGTATGAGGTGAGGGAAAATACCACCACTTGGGTCTGGCACATCCTAATCCTTAAAATGATATCTTTGCTCTTTTACATTTTAACGCAGTTTTATGCAATAAATTTGCCCAAAGCAATTAATTGTATACTTGTTTAATGAAATATCAAAATATGGCTATATCAACTCTTCCCAACAATTTTAATTTGAGGTATTAATGTATTTTGCAAAACATTGAGGATTTATATATGGTTTTGAGAACATATAATACAACCAAAAAATGTTTCATAAGATAGCCACAGCAAGATAAATGTATATAAAAGCCACAGCATGATA